CCATAGGTTACCACAGGTTACCATAGGTTACCACAGGTTGCCGTAGGTCACCATAGGTTGCCGTAGGTTACCATAGGTCACCATAGGTTACCATAGGTCACCATAGGTTGCCATAGGTCACCATAGGTCACCATAGGTTGCCATAGGTCACCATAGGTTGCCATAGGTCACCATAGGTTACCATAGGTTACCATAGGAGGTTGCCAAAGGTCACCATAGGTTGCCATAGGTCACCATAGGTTACCATAGGTTACCATAGGTCACCATAGTTTACCATAGGTTACCATAGGTCACCAAAAGTTACCATAGGCCACCATAGGTTACCTTAGGTCATCATAGGTTGCCATAGGCCACCATAGCTTACCATAGGTCACCATAGGTCACGATAGGTTACCATAGGTTACCATAGGTTACCATAGGTTACCCTAGGTTACCATAGGTTACCATAGGTTACGATAGGTCACCATAGGTCACCAGAGCTTACCATAGGTCACCATAGGTTCCGATAGGTCACCATAGGTTGCCATAGGTTACCGTAGGTTACCATAGGTTACCATAGGTTACCATAGGTCACCATACATTACCATAGGTTACCATAGGTCACCACAGGTTACCATAGGTTGCCATAGGTGACCATAGATTGCCATAGGTCACCATAGGTTGCCATAGGTCACCATAGATTGCCATAGGTCACCATCGATTGCCATAGGTCACCATAGGTTGCCATAGGTCACCATAGGTTGCCATAGGTCTAGGTCACCATGGGCTGCCATAGGTCACCATAGGTTGCCATAGGTTGCCATAGGTTGCCGTCGGTTACCATAGGTTACCATAGGTCACCCTAGGTTGCCATAGGTCACCATAGGTTGCCATAGGTCACCATAGGTTACCGTAGGTCACCATGGGCTGCCATAGGTCACCATAGGTTGCCATAGGTCACCATAGGTTGCCATAGGTTGCCATAGGTCACCATAGGTTGCCATAGGTTACCATAGGTTGCCATAGGTCACCATAGGTTGCCATAGGTTTCCACAGGTTGCCATAGGTCACCATAGGTTGCCATAGGTCACCACACGTTGCCATAGGTCACCATAGATTGCCATAGGTTAACATAGGCTGCCATAGGTCACCATAGGTTGCCATAGGTCACCATAGGTTGCCATAGGTTACCATAGGTTGCCATAGGTCACCACACGTTGCCATAGGTCACCATAGGTTGCCATAGGTGCCATAGGTCACCAGAGCTTACCATAGGTCATAGGCCATAGCCATAGGTCACCATAGGTTACCAAAGGTCACCATAGGTTACCAAAGGTCACCATAGGTTACCCTAGGTCACCATAGGTCACCATAGGTTGCCATAGGTCACCATAGGTTGCCATAGGTCACCATAGGTTGCCATAGGTCCATAGGTCACCATAGGTTGCCATAGGTCACCATAGGTTGCCATAGGTCACCATAGGTCACCATAGGTTGCCATAGGTTACCATAGGTTACCATAGGCCACAATAGGTCACCATAGGTTGCCGTAGGTCACCATAGGTTGCCATAGGTCACCACACGTTGCCATAGGTCACCATAGGTTGCCATAGGTCACCATAGGTTGCCATAGGTCACCATAGGTTGCCATAGGTCACCATAGGTTGCCATAGGTTACCGTAGGTTGCCATAGGTTACCATAGGTTGCCATAGGTCACCATAGGTTACCATAGGTTACGGCAGGTTACCATAGGCACTATAGGTTACCATAGGTCACCATAGGTCACCATAGGTTACCATAGGGCACCATAGGTTACCATAGGTCACCATAGGTTGCCATAGGTTAGCATAGGCTGCCAAAGGTCACCATAGGTTGCCATAGGACACCATAGGTTGCCATAGGTTACCATAGGTTGCCATAGGTCACCATAGGTTGCCATAGGGCACCATAGGTTGCCATAGGTCACCATAGGTTGCCATATCCTTTAGGTCACCATAGGTTGCCATAGGTTGCCATAGGTCACCATAGGCCACCATAGGTTGCCATAGGTTACCATAGGTCACCATAGGTTGCCATAGGTTGCCACAGGTCACCATAGGTTGCCATAGGTTACCATAGGTTGCCATAGGTCACCATATATAGGTTGCCATAGGTTACCATAAGTTGCCATAGGTCACCATAGGTTGCCATAGGTTGCCATAGGTCACCATAGGTTGCCATCGGTCACCATAGGTTGCCATAGGTTGCCATAGGTCACCATAGGTTGCCATAGGCCACAATAGGTCACCATAGGTTGCCATAGGTCACCATAGGTTGCCATAGGTCACCATAGGTTGCCATAGGTTGCCATAGGTCACCATAGGTTGCCATAGGTCACCATAGGTTGCCATAGGTCACCATAGGTTGCCATAGGTTGCCATAGGTCACCATACATTGCCATAGGTCACCATAGGTTGCCATAGGTTGCCATAGGTCACCATAGGTTGCCGTAGGTCACCATAGGTTTTCATAGGTTGCCATAGGTCACCATAGGTTGCCATAGGTCACCATAGGTTGCCATAGGTTGCCATAGGTCACCATAGGTTGCCATAGGTCACCATAGGTTGCCATAGGTCACCATAGGTTGCCATAGGCCATAGGTCACCATAGGTCACCATAGGTCACCATAGGTTGCCATAGGTTGCCATAGGTCACCATAGGTTGCCATAGGTCCATAGGTCACCATAGGTTGCCATAGGTCACCATAGTTGCCATAGGTCACCATAGGTTGCCATAGGTCATAGGTGCCATAGGTCACCATAGGTTGCCATAGGTCACCATAGGTTGCCATAGGTTACCATAGGTTGCCATAGGTCACCATTGCCATAGGTCACCATAGGTTGCCATAGGTTACCATAGGTTGCCATAGGTCACCATTACCATAGGTCACCATAGGCCATAGGTCACCATAGGTCACCATAGGTTGCCCATAGGTCCACCATAGGTTGCCATAGGTCACCATAGGTTGCCATAGGTCACCATAGGTTGCCATAGGTCACCATAGGTTGCCATAGGTTGCCATAGGTCACCATAGGTTGCCATAGGTCACCATAGGTTGCCATAGGTCACCATAGGTTGCCATAGGTCACCATAGGTTGCCATAGGTCACCATAGGTTGCCATAGGTCACCATAGGTTGCCATAGGTCACCATAGGTTGCCATAGGTCCATAGGTCACCATGGGCTGCCATAGGTCACCATAGGTTGCCATAGGTTGCCATAGGTTGCCGTCGGTTACCATAGGTTACCATAGGTCACCCTAGGTTGCCATAGGTCACCATAGGTTGCCATAGGTCACCATAGGTTGCCATGGGCTGCCATAGGTCACCATAGGTTGCCATAGGTCACCATAGGTTGCCATAGGTTGCCATAGGTCACCATAGGTTGCCATAGGTTACCATAGGTTGCCATAGGTCACCATAGGTTGCCACCATAGGTTGCCATAGGTCACCATAGGTTGCCATAGGTTGCCATAGGTTGCCATAGGTTGCCATAGGTCACCATAGGTTGCCATAGGTCACCATAGGTTGCCATAGGTTGCCATAGGTCACCATAGGTTGCCATAGGTTACCATAAAGGCGGCATTGCTGTGCCGGAATTCTGCACGTGGCTCTCCTCTTGGAGGACTTTGGGGCTTTGGGCTTCGCTGTGCTGAGTCTCGTTCTGGACCTTGGAGACCAGGCCAATGGCACCGCGGCGCTAGTAGGGTTATATTATGATTTTATTATATAATTCATTCTAATTCGGTTTAATTCGGTTTCATCTCGTACGGAGTGTATTTCGGTGGACTTAAAATTTGGTTTCGTTCTGCCTGCTCCATTCTTCTAGTGCAAGGGGTTTGACTGTTATGTATTGGTGCCGGACCAGAACTCATGAAGCTTGTTTGCTAGTCACGGTTGGCATTATGCAGGTGTCCTCGAGGCTTGCCGCTTCGCTTACAGAGGTGCAAAAATGCATGAAAATCGGATGCTGCAATGGTCTGCAATGGTCTGCAATGATCTGCAGTGGTCTGCAATGGTCTGCAATGGTAGTTGCTGTATGTTGCTGTGACTACGAAATTATTTCAGCACTTTTCAGCTTATCTGAAGCAGTCCTCGGAATCTGTCCAGTCCTTGAATCTCGTCAATCAAGCAAAGCTTGTACCTTTTGACACGCAAGTGACCAAGCGGATCAAGTGTAATGTGTCAAATGAGTGTAGCGTTTTCAAACTTCGACAGAAGAATACTCAAAACTGCCTTTTCTCCCAGGCTTTCCATCTCGGCAGCGACAAGGACCGTGAAACTGTCCATACATTACCTTGCATATTTTTGACACAAAGGGTGATTTGTTGAGCATATTTAAGCATTGTGCAAAGTGAAATAGGCCGAGTTGGAGAGCTCTGCAATCTTTCCATTTGTAGTTTGGATATGTTTGGATATCCTTGTTTCCATTTGTTTCCATTTGTTTCCATCTGTTTCCATTTGTTTCCTCCCAATTTTTCCACAGCTTCCACAGGTTCCACAGCTTCCCCTTCAGCCGTCCGAGCCCTGGATGCCCTAGGACCGGTCTTGGACTCACCTTGGCAGCTTCGTGGTGGTTTGCCGCCTGTGTGCACTGTTACCATTGTGTCTCCTGCCAGGCCTGGGTTTCCATTTAATTCCTACCAGTTGTGAAAAGATGCCAAGTTTGAGTTTGCGTGGCGTTTGCATGGCCTTTGCATAGCGTTTGCGTGGCATTTGCATGGTTGCCACCGACTTTCTTTTGGCACGAAATGGCTCAATTGGAATGGCTGTGGGATGTATCAGAACCTAGCACAGCCATGCAATAGCTGCAATAGTAAGATTCACCATCACCAGACAAGCAAGCCCCCACGGGCCCTCACCTGCAGAGCTCAGCAAGCAAATAGTGGTGAAAGTCGAAGGCCAATTTGAACAAATTTGAACAAAAGGCCAACAAAAATATTTGAACACAGTGTCCCCCTTGGTCCCCCTTGCTCCGCAAAGATGGGGTCTCGGGTGCGCCTTTCGCAGAATCGCTTAATGGGAACTGTTTTGAGCTGGAAAGGTCGTTTTGGATGGATTAGATCAGACAAGAAAATTAATCATGAGGAAGCAGTCAAACACGGTGGACGTGTATATGTGCACATCTCTGATGTAGAAGGTCGGCTTGAACTTCAAGAAAATGCTCGGGTGTCGTTCTTCGCATATAGTGATGGTGATGGTTTGGGTGCTGAGCAAGTGCAGATTGAGATCCAGAACTTGAGCCACCAAACCAGTCAGATGGCAGGAGTATCAACCGTAGTCAAGACACGCGCCCAGCGCACGGTTCCAAGTGGCCCAAGCGGTCCAAGTGGTCCAAGTGCTCCACCACAAGTTGGTGTCGGGGTGCCTCCCAAAACTGCTACAGCTCCACCAAAACAGCTTTTCCCGCTGACGAGTGGGGTGGCCCCAAAGGCTTGGCCATGCCCGAAGCCTTCCGTGAAAGCAAAGGTTCCTCCAAAACCAGCACCAGCACCGGCAATGCCAACAGGTTGGGATGAGGGCCCGGAAGAACCGGACAGACCGCAGACAGCTCCAGCATCCACAGAGGCTGAAGCAACGACCACTCGACGCTGGCGATTCCAAGGCGCTTCAGCGCCGCCTGTTGACGTAGCGAAGGCTGCGCCTGCGGCTGTGCCTTTGGCTGCACCCGGAACGCTAGCGCGGACGGCACCCACAGCACCCACAGCACCCACAGCACCCAAGGCCAAAGCGAAGAGCACAGCTGCGCCAAAGGCTTCGACATCTCAAAAGGATGGCATGACATTGGCTGCAGAAGCTGCTGCCAACTACACTTTGCCTCCTGGAACTGTCAAGTGGTGGAAAGATCTCGCTGGTGATTGCTGTCCAATTTCCCTGTCGCCTCTTGAGGAGCTTTCTGTCGACCCCTTTGGCTTGATAGGAGCTACAGAAAATGCTGAGACACTTCCAAGCGAAGGTGTTTGGGGCAAAGCAGCAGCCAGAATGGTCAGTGAAAAGCAATCAGTGCAGTCAGTGCATTGGTTTGACGGGATGTTCCTGGCTTCATTTCTAGTGTCCTCAGGACAGCTGATTGACCCTGTCAATCGCCGGTCTCTGTCGAGAGGGGAGTGTAAGTCATTGGATGAATATATCCAAGCACATGGCTTCCCTGCGGTGCATGTCACAGATGCCTTTGACTTGGCGAAAGCTGTTAAGAGCACTCAGTCATCTGAGTCCTCTGGGCCAGCTGCTACTCGAATGGCTGCTTTGGAGCGCGAGGCAGCATCAATGCTTCGAAGTTTGTTTGACTTCCGTTCAGTGGGAAGTGGAGGACTGACCCGAAGCGAGCCCGCCGCCCAACCTGAGCCTGCGCAGCCTGAGGATGTAATGTCTGTGTCACAAGAGATCCAGGAGCCTAGTGATGCAGCGACTGCCGCTGTGCATTGGCCCGCCTTAGGTGAGACGCCAGCACAGGTCAGTCGCCAGCAGCCACAGCCAGAGGGAGAGAGACGCATCCGCGTGTGCACCCAAAGGACAGTGCACAACGATGGTGGCTTGCAGGTTGTGGATGACACTGAATTTGATGTTGAGTATGAGGAGGAGATTGTCTCTGAACCTACCCTTGCGGAATCTGCTGCTTCAGCACCTCGCCGTTCCAGATTGGCAAGACTGCCTCGGGGACGCGGTGATGGGGCCCAGATCACATTTTCAGTGACCGGGCGGGCCCGGGTGGATCCCATTCCTGAGCGTGCTAGGGCTGTCGGTAGTGGTGCAAGTGCAAGTCAGGACAAATCTGAGAGTGAAAGCGAGGCTTCAGAAGCTGAAGCTTTGGAATGTGAGACTTGGATTCCAGACTGGGCGACACCAGAGTTGCATGAGAGGCTCCTGTCAGAGCTGGAGGTGATTGAAGCCATGTTTCCAGACGAGTTTCAAGTGCTGAATCCCGAGGTGAAAAGCCACTTGGAGGGATGCTTGTCAAAAGGTGTGGTCAGTCGTGCAACAGACCCCCTCCGGATTCAGATTTCACAGCATTTGGATGGCCCACGTGGTGGTTGCAACATGCTGGTGGAGTTTTCCATGCCACCTTTTTATCCACTGCATGATGCCAATGTGCTACTTCGTGAAGCTGATGAAGGTGCCGGCTGGATCAAAGATGGGTTGCAGAACCTACAAGCAACGCTGCGCACAGAGGTCCTTCCCACCTTGGAGGGTTCTGAAGTTGTTCAAAAAGTCACCGATTGGCTCAACATGCACGGTCCGGCTGTGCTGTCCAGCGCAGAACGTGAAGCTGCAGATCCCAAACGTCGAGCAAAGGCCGAGCGTGAAGCCCGTGAAGCCGAGCCCGCTGCAACAAAGGCGGAGAGAATAGAGCAAGCTCGGAAAGAGAGACTCAGCGCCAAATTTACAGAGAAGTGGGATCTTTGCTATGCCTTCGTGAAGCATGGCTCCTGTAAGGACAAGAACTGCCAGTGGAGACATGAGCTGCCTAAGAAGGAGGAGAAGGAGGAGAAGGAGGAACCGCCCAAAGAAGAGACAAAAACCAAAGCTGGTGGCGGTAAATCCACGGCCAAGGCTGGTGGTAAGAAAAAGAAATAGTTCATGCCGATTTCATGCAGAAATGCGTGGAGCAAGTTTGAGAAGAATGCTGGCTGAGTGTGTGGAGTGAAGCCCCGTAGATCATACCGGAACGAGAGAGAACATTTGTGGTACAGCTGTCTTGTTCTTTCTTAAAGAAGCCGGGATGAATGTAAGACGCCAGCGACATTCAGTGCAGAGCGCAAAATCAATATTGTCCATATATTGCTTGCCATGTAGATATGTGAACTCAGATTTGATTTGAGAGTTGAACTTCACTTGAGTCACTTGAGCTTTTCATGTTCAGATGCTGTCAGGACAGGTGGAATGGCATCATTTTTTCTTAGTTATCACTGACATGGGCTTGCAGATGGGATGACTTGCTGGTAAAGTGACCAAAGTAGTGTGGCTTCAGCTTTCCAACCCTTTGAACAGACTCATCACATCCAAAGGATTGCCGCTGCTTGTAGTGTCTTTACAAGGCTTAGACTCTCAGAGCTTTCAGTTGTATTTGAAGTTACTTAAGTTACTTTAGAAGGAAGCAGAGAGACACCAAGTCTGCAAGGCTTTGCGGACGATCGCCATCTCCCTGAGAACTGTGACCAGGTGTGGATTTAAGGGGTTGAGTTTCCGAGGAATACTGGTACCTTTCACAATGAAAGTAACCTAGCAGACCTAGCACAACACGCCATTTGCCAGTGTAATCTTGAAGGTTTTTGGAGAAAGCATTGAAGATATGACATGAGACGTCACATATGTTTCCCAGAAATTAAAAGAAACACCTCTTGCGGCAGCAAGCTGGAAGAATACAAAAAATATGTCAACAAACGACCACACGAAGAGGTATATACAGTATCTGATTTTTGCGGCCAAAAAGCCGGCAGATTCGATTCGGTCATAAAATAGTTTGTGCCAACACACCACAAAAATCGGGAATCGCAAGCCTTGCGTTTAGCACCCACTGATGAAAAATAATTGAAGACGTACAAACAGAACAGGGATCGTTCTTGCGGAATTTGCATATTTGTGCAGTGCATGTTTACCTTATACTAACATATACTAACTTCATGTCCATTTGCACATTTGACCGATTTGACCACCAAAGATTTTCCTCTCTTGGACCATTGGGACTCTGTTCGTTAAACTGTTTGGACTCGTTTGGACTCCCCGTTTTCCGCTCAGCTCCGCGGAGGCTCAACAGGGTACCGAGGATTGGCATCCCAGAGCTCTCTGACATTGCCGACTGGGCGACAGTAGTTTGACGTAGTTTGATTGGTATCTAAGATATTCTAAGATATCTATTTATTGTATCTATTGGTAATGATTTGCAGATATCTTCAAGAAGACTAAGATTTCAGGTCTTTAGGTCTATAAAGGTGACGTATTTAGACTATGGACACAGAGTTGGTTTGAGTCCATGACCAGGAGACGAGCACAGGGTCTCCAAGAAGGTAGACACGTGACATCAAAATTGGGATTAATTTTTCCATCGTACTGGGACCATGGAAATCAGTTCGTCGGGCAACATACTGTACATATTCTCAACCATAATGCAGTCATACAATGTTATAACATGTTATATCCCAAGTGAACATACAGTACATCATCAACCAAGGCTCTCCGCGTTTCCGTGTTTGCAGGTTACTTTGCAGGATGGCGCGCAAACGTGAGCGGGAGCAGTGCACATGAGCGAAACAGAAAGTCTGGTGCTTCTTCATTTGGTACTGGAGAGACGGGTCAAGCCGGTGAAGCTGATTCTTCAAAATGCTTACCCTTTTGCTACAAAATCATTCAAACGCCCGTCAAAACAAAACGATAGTCGATTTTGACTTTGACGAGAGGGGTAGAGAGAGGCAGAGAGGGGCAGAGAGGCAGAGGCTGGCAGCAGTTTCGAAAGAAAAGTAATCTCTGCTTTCCCGGGATGCATAGGTTCTCAAAAGTCAGGGTGATTTGAGACTTCGAGCAAACATATTTTGAGAACAAATGCCACAACGTGCACAAGGCGGATGTCACTTCCATTTCCTGTACAGTTGGCTTCCAAGGGTGCAAAAGCTACAGCCAATACACGAGGGTTCAGCCACATGCTGTAACTCCTTCACCTTGGGTGATCAGCATGGTACGTTTGTGACTCAACTGTACATACCAAAGACTCATGACAAGCACAGCTCATTGCTAGGGTTGACTGGTGTACATGGATGGGTGGCGCAAAAAGGAGATGATAGCGCCGAAGGCTTGAGTTGCTCCGCATCACCTGAAGGTGCACAGACTCCCGTGGCAAACTGCGATGTCATGCACACAGAAGAAACAGGATAAACATGAATAAACGGTTCACAAATGTTGACAAACTAGAGAACTTTTAGATCTTTTAGGTACTTTTAGCAGCTTAGCATCTCTTCATCAAGCTTCTAGGATTTCTAGGCCTTTATGGCCAGATCGTAGGCCGGCTAATTTGGAAAACCAATTGCTGAGTAAACTCGCAGCCTCCAGAGGGCCTTCGGGGCCTGCAGCCTGGGTCACAGTCACCAGTGTCCGAAGCACAATTCATTTCACAATCGACAACAATTTGACAATTTGACAACAATCTACACATAATCTACAGATAATCTACATAAGCTACCAACTATCTTCAAATAACGACATAAACTTAAAACCCCAAGTAAAGCACTTACAGATGGTTGTCAAACTTCGTTAAAGCAGAACAGGCAGAGCTGTGCAGCGCGGCGCACCTTTTTCCTGCCATGAACGGGCGTGAGGCCGACGCTAAAGCATTCGGGGCCGGTGAAAATGGCACAGAGTTCACCTGGAACAAAAGGAGACTTGGCTCATCTTGGCTCATCTTGGCTCACTTGGACTTGGATAGACTTGGGTAGACTCGGATAGACTTGGACGTTGCAGTTCGAAACAAGAGCAAACCTAACGGTTTTATCTTTAAGTCATGACAAAGGAACCTCGAAAAGCCTTAGAATCCCAGGTACGTAAGCTCCTGAGCTGCTCTTATTTCCACTGACGCAATTACATATACTCATGCTGCAACATGAGGACAACATGAGAACAACATGAGAACAACATGAGAACAACATGAGAACAACATGAGAACAACATGAGAATAACATGAGAACAACATGAGAACAACATGAGAATAACATAAGAACAACATGAGAACAACATGATGATAACATGAGAACAACATGAGAACAACATGAGAACAACATGAGAATAACATGAGAATAACATGAGAACAACATGAGAATAACATGAGAACAACATGAGAACAACATGAGAATAACATGAGAACAACATGAGAATAACATGAGAACAACATGAAAATAACATGAGAACAACATGAGAACAACATGAGACAATTATGAGAATGACATGAGAACAACATGAGAATAACATGATAACAACTTGAGAACAACATGTCAACAACATGAGAACAACATGAGAATAACACGAGAACAACATGAGAACAACATGATAACAACATGAGAATAACATGAGAATAACATGAAAATAACATGAGAACAACATGAGAACAACATGAGAATAACATGAGAATAACATGAGAATAAAATGATAATAACATGAGAACAACATGAGAACAACATGATAAATACCATGAGAATAACATGAGAATAACATGAGAACAACATGAGAACAACATGATAATACCATGAGAACAACATGAGAATAACATGAGAATAACATGATACTAACATGAGAATAACATGAACATAACATGAGAATAACAAGAGAATATATAACATGAGAATGACATGAGAATGACATGAGAGCAACATGAGAATAACATGGGAATAACATGAGAATAAAATGAGAACAACATGAAAATTACGTGAAAATAACATGAGCAGAACATGAGGACACCATGAGAATTACGTGAAAATAACATGAGAATAACATGAGAACACCATGAGAACAACATGATAACAACATGAGAACAACATGAAAATAACATGAGAATACCATGAGAACAACATGAGAACAACATGAGAATAACATGAGAACAACATGAGACTAACATGAAAATGACATGAGAACAACATGAAAACAACATGAAAGTAACATAATAACAACATGAAAACAACATGATACTAACATGATAATAACATGAGAACAACACAAAAATAACATGAAAATAACATGAGAACAACATGAGAATAACATCAGAACAACATGAGAATAACATGAGAATAACATGAGAATAAGATGAGAACAACATGAGAATTACCTGAAAATAACATGAGCAGAACATGAGGACAACATGAGAATTACGTGAAAATAACATGAAAATAACTTGAGAACAACATGAGAACAACATGAAAATAACATGAAAATAACATGAGAACAACATGAGAATAACATGAGAATAGATTGAACGCGCAATGGCGAAAATTTTCACCCCAACCACTCAGCCACTCAGCCACTCAGCCACTCTGAGTGACTGAATGGCTGAGTGGCTGCTCCAGCCACTCTGGCAGAGTGGCTGAGTGGCTGCTCCAACCACTCTGGCTGAGTGGCTGAGTGGCTGAGTGGCTGCTCCAGCCACTCTGGCAGAGCGGCTGAGTGGCTGCGGCAGAGTCATCAGCCAATGAAATGGATAAAGTTTTTAAACATTTCAATAACCAAGCAAGATTATGTGATATTGACGGCAACTTGATTTACAAACATAACCCTGTAAACTTCAACTGCCATGGCTACATAGCTTTCAACGTATTGATTAAGAACAGCCACATATACACTTTTAACAATAACCTGAAATCACTTAAAAGGAAAGAGAGTGTTGATGAACTCTACAAGTTCAGGATTGGAAACAGCTATTACATCAACAACAGAGAAGAACCTCTTAAATACAAAATGATTGATGGTATCGATGATGTGATGAGTTTAAAGGATGAAGAGGAATACAGATTAGTTTTAAAAAGGCAATGATTTGAACAAAACAATTTATGAAGTGAAAAGAGCATGAACCACAGGTTAGGCACACAGCAGGTAGGGCAGTAGAAACCAAGTTTGATTTAACACACAAGATAGTCAGGAAACAGAAAACGGTAACCTACAGCATTGCAACACAGCACCGTGACCATGACAGAATCAATGATGATATCTTGATGGAAATAGAGGAATAATACAACAAAGTCAGCGCTACAATGTTCAAGTTTCATGAGTCAACAGTGAAAATCATAAGGCATACTATAACGAAACTGACCTTAAAGCATTGGATGAATGCAGAACCATTGTTCCTAATGGAAGGTTGTTAAAGGCAAAAGACTATGATAGCAAGGGCTATGAACTTGTCCTTGCCCCTGAAGATATGTGTAGCATCGACACACGGAAAGCCTACTCATACCAAGCAACAAAGATTACACACATTCCAGTGTTCAAAGATTTTGATGTAAGGAAGCTATACACCAAAAAAGATGATTTTAACAAATTCAATAACTACACCTCGTTCATAGTGAGGGCATGTCAGGGCAACATTTGTTTTTTAACAAAAATATAATCTGGTGTATGGGAAGCACCTGAAGAAATTGATTAAGAGAGCGGTGGCAATGAAGATACTATTTTACAAAGTACCTTCATACATTCACAGAGTGAAGTATAAGAAAGCGGTTGAACATTTATATAAAACAGTGATTAGTGATGACAAATTTGAGAACCAAACAAGCTTGAAAACTATTGCTAATGCAGTCTTTGGTTTGCTTGAGAAGTCTTACAATAGAAAAACGGTCAGTAGGATTTTTGATAATCTAAAGGAGGCATTACAGCACCAGAAAAAATATGATGGGCGGATTTACGCAATGACAAAGAAGAGTATGAGGAATATTTTCGATGGAGAGAATGAGAAGAAGATTGGACTATCGAAGTTGATGAGAACAACAAACTTTTTTTTAGACATGTGAATGGCGGTGCGTGTTTTACAGATTTTGATTATAACGTCGAGGATGGCAAAACCTACTACTGTGAAAATGATTCATTCAACCAAAAGATAGAGAAGAAAAGCGAGACCGCCAAATATTATATAGTCAGTGTCAGTGACCAAAGGCAGTTGATGAACGGATTTAGGTTTATCAAAGAGCTACTGGTACAAAATCATAACTTCCATATGTATGATGCATATGAGAAGTTGAAGGAGGCAAACATCAATGTTTACGCTGTAAAGACTGATGCCTTTCACATAGCAAAGAGAGATTTAAAGAAAGTTAAAACATATTGAATTTTCATAATGACATAGGAGGCTGAAGAGTGGAAGATAAGAAAGTTGTTCCTGTTCCCAAAGTCCATGGATGGAAACACAATGAGATTCCAAAAAGACCAATTTACGAAAGCGAAAGGATTGAGGTTCAAGATGAATGGGACACAGAAGCAATTAAAAAACAGCAATAAGAAAGAAGAGAGTCATGATTAGGGCAAAATTTGCAGGAAGTAGTAAGAGTTTCATTGGAAAACATTTCAACGACCTAAGTTTATAATACACATTTTGTTGTTCCTCAAAATATGCAAAAGCAAGATGTTGGATTCCATGCGATGCAGTCACCCAAAATACATTCTTCAGTGTTCCTGTGTGTAAGGGGGAAAGCAGGCTACCAAAGTATGATTACAACGGTTACATGTAATCCTTTTTGATGAAATCTATATGTCAAGTCCTTATATCTTGAATAAGATAAGAGTCTTCTGCAATGAAAACCCTCATTTGATTGTAATAGGTGCAGGTGATGTCAAACCATTTCCAAGCATAGAGCCCTTCACCAACAGCCAAAAGAGAGGAGTATGTTGACAATTGCATTGACATAATTTTCAAATACAATATCTTTTTGCAGATACGCAAAAGAGTAGGAGGTAAAGATACAGAAGAGGGACAGGAATAGAAAAAAATAAATGAAATCTATGATGATTTTGGGGAAAAGATTTGGATGAATTTTTATGATATAAGGAAATACACTTAAAAGGATAATACCTTATAGTAGTATGGAGAGTAGAAAGTGCACAAAGTGTAAGACAAATAAAAATGGCGACGAGTTCAATGGAATGAATAGAATGTGTATTGAATGCTTGGACAAACAAAAGGAGAGTAACACAAAATATTACAATCAAAAGGAAGTATTCTGCGACATTTGCCAGCGGAATGTGAAACAATGCAGGTTGTCCAAACATCTTCAAACCGACAGGCATATCAACAAGGAAAAACTCAAAAAGGAAGAAGAGAAAAAACAAAAAGAGATGGAGGAATACTTAAAAGATGATGAAGCAAGAATTGCAAAATTGAAACACATCTGGAAAACCATTACACCAAAAAAAATAAAACTTTAACCCCATAATTTGTCATATCATAATATATGAAGAAATATGATACGAACATAGGCATGTTAGAGATGGATGATTTAGATTTATGATATTATTTTATGATATTATATTATGATAACATATTGTGATGAAATTTACGATGAAATATTATGATGACATATTATGATGACATATTATGATTTGAATTTATGTGATGATGGATGATGATGAAATGATGTGGGATGATGATGTATGAAATGATGTGGTTTTATTTTGTGTTGATACTGTGATGAAATGATATGACATGTTGTGAAAATGAACTGTGGTAAATGATGAAATGATGGAGGTGGATGGTATGAACTTAGGTGTGTTTGTGTCTAGCTATATGTATATATATAATTTCTTTAATTATATGAAAACATTGGAACTATAACCAAATGTCTCATTCCTTTCACCATGATGATCCGTAGAGACCCACAGAGCGAACCCCTTTAACACAAATGGCTAATGACTTCTTTCTCACAACCCTTTAACACAGATGTTTGCATAAAATTCCATTCAATCCATAAGAATATATGCCCCAGTGCCTACAAGATAAAGGAAGAACCCCCAAATTAGCAAAAAACCTCACTTGAAAAACTACCCAGACCTAAGAAAAATTAGGTCTGGGTAATACTGCTTACACTCCATTGGCTAAGCTGCACATGACTTCTTTCTCACAACCCTTTAACACAGATGTTTGCATAAAATTCCATTCCATCCATAAGAATATATGCCCTCACTTGAAAAACTACCCAGACCTAAGAAAAATTAGGTCTGGGTAATACTGCTTACACTCCATTGGCTAACTGAGACATTCTGCCAGAGTGGCTTGGTGCAGCCACTCAGCCACTCAGCCACTCAGCCACTCAGACGCTCTGGTAAGAGTGGCGGCTCCAGCCACTCTGGCAGAGTGGCTGAGTGGCTGCTTCGATTTCGCGAAACGTGTTGCACATCCACTCTGAGAATAACATGAAAAAACATGAGAATAACATGAGAACAACATGAGAATAACATGAGAATAACATGAGAACAACATGAGAACAACATGAGAATAACATGAGAACAACATGAGAACAACATGAGAACAACATGAGAACAACATGAGAACAACATGAGAATAACATGAGAATAACATGAGAACAACATGAGAACAACATGAGAACAACATGAGAATAACAGGAGAACAACATGAGAACAACATGAGAATAACATGAGAACAACATGAGAATAACATGAGAATAACATGAGAATAACATGAGAACAACATGAGAATAACATGAGAATAACATGAGAACAACATGAGAATAACATGAGAACAACATGAGAACAACATGAGAACAACATGAGAATAACATCAGAACAACATGAGAACAACATGAGAATAACATGAGAATACCATGAGAATAACATGAGAATAACATGAGAACAACATGAGAACAACATGATAATAACATGAGAACAACATGAGAATAACATGAGAATAACATGAAAATAACATAAGAATAACATGAACATAACATGAGAATAACAAGAGAATATATAACATGAGAATGACATGAGAATGACATGAGAGCAACATGAGAATAACATGAGAATAACATGATAATTTCATGAGAACAACATGAGAATAACATGAGAACAACATGAGAACAACATGAGAACAACATGAGAACAACATGAGAATAACATGAGAATTTCATGAGAATAACATGAAAACAACATGAAAATAACATGAGAATAACTGAGTATTGGGAGCTGAGAGGGATGCAGCACCTCAGAAAGAATCTGCAGCTATCAGCTATCGCATTTGGCCTTGACTTGAAAACGATCATAGAGGGATTTCCACATACTTAGTTACTTAGGGGACCAGACAGGCAGTTTATCAACATTGAAACTCTCTGAATCCAAGGACATGTTGGGGGAAGACGCTTCATGAGAGAGCTCTTAAAGGAGATGAAGAAGGGGTCCGCATCCTTTTGGATGCAGATGTAAACGATCCCAGCAGGGAGGGTGCAGATATCTCTCAGGCGTTGGTTCGTTCAACATTTGCCTGGATTGTCCCATACGGCAAGGAAAACCAATTGTGTACTGGGCAAGCGATTCATTTGGCCGCGAGCCGTGGCCATGTAGCTCTGCTTCGGCTTCTGGTAGAGAGAATGGCTGACTTGAACAGCCAAGTCACTAGGGACAACCAAACCAACTATGGAGTTCTGCAAGCTGCGATCTTCCGAGGAGGTAGTGGAGGCTCCAGGCAAATGATTGAAATGTTATGCTCAGAACGCGGTGCCGATATCTCCCGCACCAATGCAAATGGGGATACTGGTTTGCATTTAGCTTTCTCCACTGGAAACGAGGAAACCATCAGGGCAGTGTACGATCTTATGAAGGGCAAAAAATCATGGGTCTTCCCAGGTGATAAACTACGGGATGAGAGCCCCCTTGAGATTGGCATCAGGTCAGGCATGATGAACCGGGAATCCCTTGCAAGGATGGCCCACTGCACCATCATGTCAGGCATGTTGAACAAAAAATACTTGACAACCATGACCCGGTGTAGTAGTGTGAGTCCCTGTTATATTGCCAGCCTGAAGCTTTTCATCAATCGAGCTCCTGAGTGTATCCCCAGCTTCCTCGAGCTCTGGGGGAAGAGAGAGGAGTTGGCGGAAGCATTGTGGCCTGAGCAAAAGCCGGAGGGATCCATTCCAGAGAACGAGAGGCTCACGAGTGACCTGGCCTGTCATTGCAAGACTGCAAGGGAATAGGGTTTGAACATGTCTGAACTTTTCTAGAGAGACGCTATTCCGAGTATTTCCAACAGCAGAACCTTTGAGTATTGTTCTGATTGGTATGTTTGGTCTGGAGCAGTAAGGTGGATACAGAAAGACACCGCACAGGATCAAGATGTCACTCAGGTTTGCTCGTGCGAAATCATTGCTCAAACACACACACACAGAGATACACACACAGACACTCATAGAATTTGCCTTTCACGGTGCAGCATAAGTTTGCCATTTTGGAGTATTTTGGAGTCTTGCAAGTCTTGCAGCAAGTCTTGCAAGAAAAAATTAGGTGATGATCTCCAGAAGATGCTGCGTGACTGCCCCGGTGCTGGAAAAGCTTTGATGGAGAGCAGTACCTTTCGACCTGCTGACCGCAGTGATGGCTATAACAAGCTGCCGGAACGGGTGAGCTTGGCTCCACGGAACCTGCTCTCCAGGCTATTGGGTTTGTCGCCTTTTTGCTTTCGCTTCAAATGCTTCTATGAGACGGACACTGAGTGGAAGGAAGAGAGAAAGTGGCACAGCCCTTTGGCAGGAAGTAGATGGAAGTAGTTGTGGAAGAATGATGTAGACCCCAGTTGTTTTTTGTCTCCCTCTTCCACCACATGATATCCGTTGCAGCAATTGTATGCAATTGTATCCAATTGTAGTACGTATAGCACAGCACTGCACCCGACAGCATTGTATGTCATAGCATGGCTTGTCTTGGCATCGCCCGACAAGTAATGCTACCACTTGATTGACCCGGACAGCTTTGTATCAGCATTGCATCACATCGCATCGCATTACATTTCATTAAACTGTATCGCATCGCGTGACATTGCTTCGCTTTCCATTGCTTTGCGTGAAGTGTCGATTCGAACTCTGACGATGTTGTCAGTGCTGGTCTCCAAAGTGCGTATATATCTAGTTATCTAGATGTTGTTCTTCAAGCACACTTTTCTTAAAGACAAACAGCACAGCTGAAGGCTGAAGGGGAAGGTTATCGACTTAAACATCTCAGCGCTTTGTCGACTTTGGTCATTCAATACCAGAGTGCGAGACCACTCATCAGAACTGATTGGGTGCCAAAAGGGCCTTCCTTTGATTGAGACATTTTCTGTGGGACAAACTCTTGGAACTGTCTCTTGCTCCTTTTCATGGACCTAGCCTGCGTTCTTAGATAGCTTCCCTTTGAAGGGTGGCAATCCATGAAACGGATTTAATCAGATCACTTGCACCAGATTGCACCATGCCTTGCCAAGGCCAGTTGAAGACAGAGCCTGGAAGGCCCGAGGAGATGAAAGAGATCAAAATCCTGCTCTGTCGAGTGCCTGACATCATCACACCTGGCTTTTTCTCAGCCGTTTTGGACGCTCGTGACGGAGACAAGCCGGCTTTGTTCCTCTTTCAGAGTTTGCCTGTCCGCGCGGCTGTATCTTTCACTTTCTGGAAAGGTGCTGTGTGGATGGATATGCTTCAGTTCATCTTCTCTCTCTGGGGATTGATCCTGCTGATCACAATGACTTGGCATGCCCAGGACACTGAGTTCTGCCCACAAGGCTTGGTCAACGGCAACAATGCAACCGAAACAGTCGAAACAGTGCTGAATGTAACGCATGCGACAAATCAGACTGCACAGAAGGTGTTGCAGGACCTTTGCAGCGAGCAGCTGGCCAGTATCTTTAAGTCAAGCTTAATAACTGACACCGGAGCAGAATATAAGCCTCATGAGAGAGCTGTTGTGGGAGATTGGATCATTGCCAAAGGCTTTGTGGATCTTCTTCTTGAAGCTCTGCAGTTTGGAGGATGTGTTGCCACCAAGCAGATTGCTTCCTACTTTAGAGCCGGTAACTTGTGGGCTGCTCGGTTGCAGTTCTCTGATGGTTGGTAGGATGTTGCCGATCCTTTGCTTGAAAGATTTAAAACCTTTTTTGCCCGAACAGTGTGTCCACACTGAGGGGTTCTTACGGTAAGTGTAAAAGGCCGGGGTTAGATCAAGTGATCAAGTCAAGTGTGATCAAGGATGTCTTCCGCAGCATTCTGCCGATCCTTCTGCTGCGGTTCTATGATTGTAAGCCGCTTCAAATCTTGGTGGTTCTCATGTACTGGATGCGGCTTCTGGAGGGTGCCACGTTGTCTCAGAAGATTGGCCACGCCTTGCTACCGCTTCAAAATTTGGTTCACGGCCTCATTCCGGCCATGCTTTTCACCATCTTAGGATTTGGTGCATTGACTCACGCCCTATATGCAGTGCACAACCAGGACAATGATCGGCAGCAACTGTGGCCTGGAGCAGTGTGGAAGACTTTTTCCAGACTCATAGCGCAGGAGTTGGATGATGACACAATGCCAGAAGACATGGAATTGCTGGTGCTACTTTTTGGAGTTCTGTTCTTTTCGGTCTTCATGATGAATGTCTTCATCGGAGTGATCAATGATCAATACTCTGAGGAGAAGAAGACGGTCCGCATGGCCTTCCAAAGTCTTCGGGCCAAATCTTGTTTGACTCATCTGTTGCGCACGAGCGCCGTCCCTTGCGACTTGCTTACTGCACAGCAAGCTGCATGCATGTCCACTTTTTGTGTGATGACCTGCATAGTCTTACAGGTGCTTGCACTTGGTGAAACGGGGTGGCAACTGCCGGACTATTGGCAGTTCGTTGCCTTTCTCCTGATGAAACTCTTGATTTTTACGGCTTCCTTTCAATGCAAAGGATCTGACTTTCCGTGGCTCACCTTCATTCGCGGCAATCCACAGACAAGGTATCTGTGGATTTGTGAGCCCCGAGACTATGGGGAGACTGATGATGACAAGATGATGCCTTTACCAAGAACTTCTACAAGGAGCATGGAGCACGAACAATGCTTGGCTGCTGTGCCGATGGCGGATGACGCGCCAACTTTGCCCACTTTGTTGACGTCCCGTCCTCTTGCACAATGCACTTCATGCAGACTTTGATGGCAATGCAGAGCACCTTCGATATCACCGCACTTTCCGCTCGATTTTGGATATCTAATTAATTAGCAATCAATTAGTCTTTAGCCCCTCATTTCCCGCGTTTTTGCACCAAGTAAATGCCAAAAGTGCACAAACGTGCTAGCTGCTGGTGGTTCAGAGGGTGCCTAGCTGTTGCTTTTAGCACAGTTTTCATATTTACAGCATTTTACAGCCTCCGGCAGATATTAGCCGCTTTAGTTTGGTATGCTCCACAAGGGAGCGCCTGCGTGAATCCTATTTTGCACATGCGAAATGAATAGTGGTGACCTTAGTGGTGTTTGAGCCAGCTTTGACCTGTCAAGTTTTTTTTGTGTCCGCGGTCTTGATCATACATTCCCGTTCTGTTTATCGTTCCTCCGTCGTCATCATCATTCTTGCTGTGCTTTTTATGATGCTGTTGCCGCAATCTTCAGCCTTCTAGTCGCGTATCACCTGTGCCCTTTTCAGAACGTGTCGTCAGGAATCCCGAGCTCCAAAATTCGTCAAAATTCCACGCCCCTACCTACAGGGGTCCAATGAAAAAATATGTTCGTTGATACATTGTAGGTCTGTAGACTCTGTGTTGTTTGATCCTTTTTGCAGACGATCAGAACCACAGCCAGTCTACTCACAGTCTTGTGGTTTGAGGATCGATATTGGAGCGAAACTATCTGTCGCACCTGTCGCTTCGCAGCTTCAACAAGAAAACACGTAAATGGTCAAAGAAATACGCCTTTATGCAAGTATATACATATACATATACATATAAATATAAATATACATATACATATTATACATATACACATACATATACATATACATATACATATACACATAAATATACAAATACAGATGCATATATATATATATATAGATAGATAGATAGATAGATAGATATAGATATAGATATAGATATAAGCACGGTTCGGCCCAGGTGCAGAATCAGAACAGAATCAAGAGGCTTTCACGTCTGCAGAACACCACATTTGCAAAACCACATGCAGTCAAGACTTATTGAGTTTTCCGTTCTGTGACGCGCTGCCATGGCCCCTTCACTGGCATCTTCCCAGAAGCCGGATGAAGTCATTGATGACATTGTGCTTTCAATGGAGGCTCCTGGAACCAATCCAAGCACACACACACAGATCTTTGATTGGGTTGCACCTGTTGCAAGAGCCGTCCAAAATAGAAAAAACACATATTTCCTTTTGGCAATCAATTTCAATTTGCAGTTTGGACATGATCTCAAAACACCAAGTTGAACATTGTTGTCATTTTGGATGTCTCCCAAGGCAAACGCGTGCTTGGAGCATTTTCATGTTTTTCATGGTCTTGACCCTGTTTCATCGTGCTGGTGCAAAGGGTTTGTTGTGACCCACCTGTGCTCAAGTGTCCTCAACACCTGACCTCAAAGCTGCTAAACATCGCCTTGTGGCAGGGCAAGGCTGGGATGCAGTCTGAGGCCCCGTTTGATGCAACTTGACGAAAGGGAACTGAGAAATCAAGCTGGAGGCAGTCGGAGGTATTCACCAAACTTTTTCCCGTGCCCTTCAATGTCAACTGTTTGGGGATCTCTGGTTCTCATGTCTTTGCAGATCTTGGCATGTTTGCTTCAGTCTGCCCAAATCTGTTTGTCCGACGGCCAAGTCTTTTTTCTCAGGTGCTCTTGCAGCTACACGAGCAGAGACTCACCAAGACTATGGAGGAGTTGTGCTGCACGTGACCAATGCGATGCGCGAATTCCATTGACAGCGCGCATCATTGGTACCATCACTGTAGATATGGTGTGCACATTGATCACATAAGACGACACACATTTTAATACATTTCGAGCTTGGGTTCAAAGCCCTCTGATTTTTTCAACCCCAGAACTGCTCAAAATGCGTTTGAGCACCGCTTTAGGAGCTGTTTGAGAAGATTGAGGCCTCGCGGGTGAGAAGCTGTGTGTCGACAGTGAACCTGGCTGTTCCCAGCAGTGGAACAGGAGGAATGAATGTGGGTAGTATCTACTGTAACAGTGTATATTATTCATAAACACATGTACACATAAAATATCTATACATACATACATACATACATTGCACACATTCCACACATTGCACACATTGCACACATTGCACACATTGCACACATTGCATACATTGCACACATTGCACACATTGCACACATTGCACACATTGCACACATTGCACACATTGCACACATTGCACACATTGCACACATTGCACACATTGCACACATTACACACATTACACACATTACACAGATTACACACATTGCACACATTGCACACAATGCACAGAATACACACATTACACACATTACAGACATTACAGACATTACAGACATTTCAGACATTACAGACACTACATACATTACATACATTACATACATTACATACATTACATACATTACTTACATTACATACATTACATACATTACGTACATTACGTACATTACGTACATTACACACACATTACACACACATTACATACATTACATACATTACAAACATTACATATATTACATATATTTTACATATTGAATACATGATATACATTACATACATTACCGACATTACATACATTACATACATTACATACATTACTTTCATTACTTTCACTACTTTCATTACTACATACCTACATACCTACATACCTACATACCTACATACCTACATACCTAACATACCTAACATACATACATACATACATACATACATACATACATACATACATACATACAGTGAAATTCTCCATGGCATCAGGTCACCAAGGTTTGTAGCCTCATGGACAATAGAGCATGGGACATGTGCACAGAACTCGCCGTACGCAGGGCGCCCTTGAGTGGTTCAAAAGTGAGTTTGGTAGCGGAGCCCCGCAAGGGGCTCCGCTGCCGGGTCCCCTCGACCGCACTTGCTTGGCTGCTGGCCATTGGGTTGGCCTGCTTCGCTGTGCGCGAGGCCAACGGACCTGGCGGAGGAGCACTTCGATCTGGGGCCGCTGTGCTTGGTGGAGCGCTGCTTCGGGCGCGTGCTTCATCACTGCCTTTGACTGGGTGATCGGGCTCTGCGCTACTTCCTGGCCTATATCCTGGTGATCGGGCTTCCTGCGCTACTCCCTGGACTTTGCCCTGCTGGTTCTGGCATCCTTCTTTGGCGGCTGAGTTGTCACTGCCATTGACCTGGTGATCGGGCCTTGTGCGCTTCATCATTGCCATCTTCCTGACCATCGGGCTCTTGGCACTACATCCTTGTCTTTGCGCTGACCTTCGGGCTCTTCGCACTCCATCATTGCCTTTGACCTCACGTTCGGGCTCTTGGCACTACTTGGTTGCGATTGACTGGATTGTCGGGCTTTGGCATTGCTGGCAATATCTTCTACCACATCAAGCTCGGGCTCTTTGCGCATTCCTGGACAAGGTCTTCGCCCTGAACTTTGTGACCTGCTTCGTGAAGGACCAGGTGAAGTTCTTGCTCTACTGCAGGAGCAATGGCGGAACCACCATCCGGTTCGGGAGCCTTACCACTCCAAGAATACCGTCGTGAAATACCACCAGGATGGGTCCCGGGAGATCCGGCCTATCCGTTGCGCCTGTACTTCGACAGGCTGAGGCTGTGGTATCGTGTGACGAACTTGGAGGACGAGATCATCGGGCCATTAGTGGCTGGTAGGCTCTATGGGAAGGCTGGCAAGATCGCCTTAGCCTTGAAGGTGCCCAGACCTGATGGCAGCTACGATACAGGTGATGCTGCTCTCAGTCGGCTGTCTGTCGATGAGGTGAGAGATCCTCAGACGGGTCAAGTGCTGCAGGAGCACATACCATCAGGCGTGCAGTTCCTCACCGACGCCTTGAAGAGCGCCTTCGGACAGATGGACCAGGACCTTGCAACACAGTCCTTGGAGCGCTTCTTCAACCTGAGTCGTGGCAAGATGAGCTTGGCGGAGTACTTAGTGGAATTCGAAACATGACTGGACGAAGCATCTGATAGGGCAGGACTCCAACTCAACAATGTTGGACGCTTCTTCCTCTTCTTTCGAGGCTCTGGTCTTGGAACGAAAACCATCGACGACATCAAGCTCCAGGTTGGTGGCGACTACAACAGGTTTGCAGACGCTAGGCAGTTGGCTTTGCGTCTCAGTCCAAACCGCCACAACGAGAGTGCTGAGATCTTCTATGAGGACAACTGGAACTATGACATGGACGGCACCTACGACCAGGAGGAATGGTATGACCCGGACGACGATGGCTGGTGGGCCTACTATGGTGATGACTGGCCGGAAGATGACTATGAGGAGCCATGGTACGAGTGCTACGACGATGAGTCATGGAACTATGAGCCTCCGGATGCACAAGATGGACAAGCCCCTGCGGAGGACGACAACAAGGAAGAGAACTCTGGCACAGGTGAATACTATGGCAAAGGTGGCAAGAGCAAGGACCAAGATGGTTGCTTCAACTGTGGCTCCAAGTGGCATCAAGTCCGAGATTGTCCACTTGCTCGAAAAGGCAACAACAAGGGCAAAGGTTCCTACTGGAAAGGCAAGGGCTTCGGAGGAAAATCGAAGTCAAAAGGATGGAGCTCTTGGAGACCCAGCTACAAGGGCAACTACAAGGGGAAGAAAGGCTTTGGAAAAGGGAAGTACGGCAAGAAAGGTTATGGACGTTTTGGCAAGGGATCATGGTTCTCTTCAACGGCATCACAAGCTTCAGAGGATGCAACTTCCATGGCATGGCTGACAACTCGTGGCCTCGACATCACTGATGGCATCGCAGATTCCTCAACGAAGATGAGAAAGCAGACCACATCTACGGCCAAGGAGTTCGTCATCCACACCAGCTCAGAAGAGCAGGAAGAGATCCTCAAGCTGAAGAAGACCGAGACGGATGTCAAGCACAACGAGATGAAGAACAATGAGAATGACGGTGAAGACACTGGGAGCTCTTCGCAACGCAGCAAGAAGACTCACTCAGTGGCCTTCAACTTCGTCTCCAGCTTCTTTGACATCCTGGAGTACTTCGTGGTGCGTGGACAGAAGAGACGAGGATTACTGATTGACCCAGGTGCTGCATCGGGCCTGATCGGCTCAGAGACGCTGAGAGACCTTCTGGAGACCTGTGTTGATCCTCATGCTGGACAAGATCGCTATGAGATCAGGTTTGACCGCACTTCTCCGGTTTCTGGCATCAGCGGATCATCAGATCGCACCTTGGGCCAAGTGACCATCCCCTTGCAGACGAATGGCCATGCAATCTCCTACACGGGAGAAGTCTTGGGCG